CAGCTGGCAGCCCTTTCTCACCCCCTGGTTCTAGAAGAACCAGAACGCCACACATCAGGCGACAACTTAGCGCCTAGCCGAGGGGGTTCCCGGATGTCTGCTCAGTATCTTAACGCGCTTTTTTTACCCCCTTCTTCCTACCCACCCTACCCTGGGAAAGGGTCCCTCATCTTTGATTTAACAGCAGAAAAACAGCCTTGTTGCTTTCTTGGGTGCCTGCCCCCATCCCCCTCTTTAAGCGCAGGGGGGAAAGAAGCTTGTGTGGGAGGAAGGATTAGGGAGGTTTAACACCCTGTAGGGGAGCTTTGCCTAGGATCTGGTAAGTCTGGTCCATAGCGCAGGTCTTTCAGTGGGAGGAGACTCACCAACAATTTTAAGTATTAAAAGATGTTCAGGTGTCAGATGTACCGTTTTTCCTTCCCTGCCCGAAAACTCTTTCCCATTACCTAGCCAGCTCCGGTTACTCGGACTTGGATTAGGAGAGGAGTGAGGCTTGGGCCCTGCTGGCGTCGGGCCTTGTGATTGTCGGCCCAGCGCCTCCCCGCAGCTCGAAACTGGGAATTTCTTTGGCCGAGAGGACGGGAGAACTGGTTGAATTCCTGCCTGTTCGTTCCTGGCTGTGAGGGTGCTGCAGCGGAGCCCGCCGGGCATTAAGGGAAAAAGGCTCTTTTCTCTTTGAACCCACCGGCCCTACAGCAACTCCAAAAGGAAACCACCCAGCCCAAAGAATACAGATTAAAGTGGCAGGGGTTTGAGGCGTGGGAGGAATGTGACCCTATCTGTCCCAGCCTACCACCTTCACCCAGAGAAAAAAACAACAAAAAACTCGTTAGAAGCTGATCCTTAATTCAGCAGTCATGCGAGACAATGAAGAGAGAGGAGGAGGAGGGAAAGTTTAGCTTCTTGAGAAGTCGAGACTTGGATATGGTGGGGTGATAAAATACGAGGAATAGGCTTTAAGGGTAGAATTTATATAAAATGTATTAGGCCGTGGGCGGGGAAGGGAGGGGTGGGCGCCAGCCCGCCACAGCGCGCATGTGCAGCGGAAACTTTTCCTGGATTCTCCCACCCTCTGCCGGGCATGCGTAGTTCCCTGGCTGAGTCTTCGCAAAGTACGCAGGGAAGTGTAGTGTGCAGAGAAAGTAGGTCATTTGCTCCAGCCCGAGCGTGAGGTTTCTGAAGACTACAATTCCCAGAGTGAAGAGCCCGCCCCTCTTACGTTGGGGCGCAGTCAGGTCTTCCTGGATTCTGAGAAAGCTGGAGTGGTGAGGCCGGCCCCACTTAGTTGGAAGGAGCCTTGCAAGCCGGCTTGGGCTTGCACAGTCCGTGTTTGAGGGACATGGTGTGAGAGACTGGGCGGGGTGTTGCGGTCGGTCGCCGCAAGTCCTGGAATGGAAGCCTTTCAACCACACCCGCCTTCCGGACCAGTGGGGTGGGGCCACCCCCCTGTCCCGCGAGAGCCAGGCACCCACTGCCCAGCACCCGGTTAGTGACATCTACTGGTCTTGTCAAAATTGAGATCGCCGAGTCCTCCTCCCACACTCACTTGATTCCAGTAGGACGATTTGGATGTTAAGGCTTGTGGTGCCCGAATGTTTTAGAGGTACTCGGAGTTTAGGGGCCCGGTGGGTTCCCTCACCATCCCTCTTTTCCCCCTTTAAAACATAACTTTTTCTTCTAAAAACTGTCCTTCACGTTTTTGTCACTTCTCTGGCGTCTCCATTACCATATCGTTGACTTTTGCAGCCACCTTTCAGCTTCTTTCTTCCCCCGCTTTTTGACATTCTCTTGAGCGCTTACTCTTTTAAAACAAAAGCCAACCCAGGGATCTGAATCCAGGATTAACTTTGTTGGAAGTAAAGCAAGTGAAAGAGGATGAGATTCTAAATAAAATCTGACAGGGAATTCCCTGGTGGTCTGGTGGCTAGGACTCTGCACTCCCGACACAGGAGGCATGGGTTCGATCCCTGGTCAGGGAACTAGATCCCGCATGCCAGGACTAAGACCCGATGCTGCCAAATAAATTAAAATTAAAAAAATTAAAGACAATTTTAATCTCATATTTCAACTTTTTTTAATGACAAAGGTCGATTTTGCTATTGTTAAGCACTTAGCCTTTTTTTCTTTTTGTCACTTTTCTGGCCTTTTGCACCTGAGTCAGAGTTGTAGAAGGTCTTTGAGTCCTCTCCTGTGGTTTAACTTGAATCTACTTGTTCCTTTTATTGAAAGGTGGTTATTTTTAAGCTTTCTAATTTTACCACATTGTATGAATATTTAGTATATAAGCATTAGAATTTGTGCAATAGCCTTAAAAAAATGAACAAACTGATCTGAGTGGTCACTCCTATCTTTAGTTAAAGACAGTAGTACTGCTTTAATCCTCTGTTCCATAAGCTTCTTGAAGTCAAAATTAGAGCCTGAGCTGATAAAGCAGAAAAGCTCATTCTGGTTGTCCGGCATTTTTCTAAGGTTCCACCCCACAGCCATCTGGCCTGGCCTGTTCTCCAATTAAAGAAGTGAAGGTGGCATTATATACTTCCTTATTTGTGCAGCAGCATCATAGAGGTATAAATTGGTGTGCAGCGTTAGTTGCTTATGCTGCAGAAAATGGCTAGCTAGGCAGGGCTGATGACAGTGATTCTATTGTATTTTGAGGTGGGAGGCTTATTTCCCAATGACTTTGGCCTGCATTTAAAATGCGCCAATTTTGAGGCTGAACTGTTCAGAGGAAGTGACTTGGAAGGCAGTTAGGCAGCAGAGTTTGAAAAGGCATAGACGGGTACAGGAGCCCTTTTGGACTGTGTGGCATACCAAGAGGCCATATGGTGCCTTGGGAGAAGTGTCATATGTCATGTTCAAGCTTTTTGAAACTACTTTGAAGACACTGTCTTTAACTCCAGGCCCGTTCTTGGGAATCAGTGCCAACTTTCTTCACAACTCTTTAGTTTCCTATGTGTTAGACACTCCTAGTGGGCCACTGTGGCCCTTACAGACATCCATTCTTGGGAGAGTGGGGGGGCATGGTCCTGGTGGCTAGCTTTGCATCTGGTGATGAAGCCAGTCCTCATACACAGAAGGCTGCTTATCTTTACCATTCTGCTCTTTAAACCTAGAAGGACTCTGGAATTAATTTTTGGTGACCATGAATAGAAATTTGAAGACATATGGAGATTAAGTCTGTATTGGAGGCCGGAACAGAGGGGAAGACAAGGGTCTCCTGCGTCCTGAGCCTCCCTGTGGCGGGCTCTGGACAGGCCACGCTCATAGCATTAATTTTGATGCTGCCCGTGACCTCTCAGACCTGAGATGAGGGTGGCATAGACTTAGCCAGTGTCATCAGATACTCCATATTGACCCAGTGCATTTTCTCTGATACTCACCTCAGAGCTTTGCCTGAGAGTTCATTCCTTAAAGTGCCCCTAGGAAACCATGGGCGCAGACCCTACAATTGCTGTGTAGTGAGCTGGGGCAGGTGTTCAGAAAGCTTGAGATCCTCAAGCCTAGAGTGACCACCTGAATACTTTGTGCTGGACCCCAAAGGGATTTTAGTCAGAAATCCAGCTCCAGGGACAGAAGATACCTGTCCCTGGTCGTGAATGAGTCTTGTCTCTGGGCTGAGCTCAGCAGCACAGTCGTACCCAGGATTCTGGCGGGGGACATGTTCTGGCTCTGTCGGCCTCAAAGATGGCCCTTTTCAGTTCAGGTCTCCCACGGTAGGAGCCTGGATCTGCCCTTGTGGAGAAAGCGAGCCTATTAGGATCACTGCTCTCAGGACCTCACAGATCGTCTTCCTGAGAAATGAGGCTGGCCCAGACCTCAGGAATAAACCTTTCTGACCTCTGTGGATCTGGCTGTGAGAGAATCCCAAAATAACAAGCTGAGTGTTTATGTTGGGCTGCCTCCTCTCCAGGGATCTCCAAACACTTGATAAATCTGGTCCAGTGCCAAGGACAGGTGGTCAGACAGTCCCTGGGAGGCTGAGTGATGATGGGTCCCCAGCTGGAGGCTGTAGGGTGATGGAAAATTTCTTCTCTCTGCCCCTCCTCATCACAGCCAGAAACTGCAGAGATTTCCCTGAGGCCACGCCAGTACTGCTCCTGAGGCTTTGTTCGCCTAAAAGGCTTGCTCCCCTCTCCTTTCCTCTGCTTCCCTAGGGCAGCCCCTAGTCAGCAGTTCTCATGTTGGTCTGTGTGTCTGTGATAGGTCTTGGCCTTTTCCGGGGGAATTGTGCACTAGTCTCTGTTCTTGGAGGTTTGTCTAGATGGAAATGCATACCTTGGTTACATGTTCTGCAAAAAAAAAAAAATCAGTTCTGCAAATACCGAGTGAACCAGAGCACATACACACCCAGGGAACCCAGGATAGCAAATGGGATGTGACTGGAATCACAGCCTACCATGAAATGCTGGCGGTGCTACTTCCTGTTCAGGGACCTGTATCACTTTTCATTTAAGGGGGAGAAATGAAGAATCTAAACTTCTGTCGTGACCTGTGACAGTCTGGGAATATGACTTCCCCAAGACACTGCGGGAACCAGTTAGTAAGAACCTTCCCCTCTCCTTCTGATTTAGGAGCTCAGTTTTTGGGTTTTTTTTTTTTTGGTGTCACTCAGAGTGACCTGAATTCTCAAAATAGTGGAAACTACGGCACCCCTATTTCTTTAGAATTACTTAAAATATTTATCAAGTGCCTCCTAAAATATCATGTTACTGATAAAAGGAAGGCTCAGAAGAAAGTGACCTACCCACAGTCTTACATACAAGCCTGTCACTAATGGAGCAGAAATGGGACCCTGGGTCTCTATGTTCCAAAGTTGGTGCTTTTCTGTCTTTCGTGTCATGCACCCCCCACTCCCCTGGCTTTCTGCCTATTTACTCACGAAGCCTTTCTTCTTCATTTCTCAGAGTTGTCTGGAGCCCAAGACTGCCCACCTTACGTTTCCTACCACTCCCCTCGACTTGTGCACGTACCTGTGCTGATTCTCTGCCTAGGAGAGGGCCATGCAGCTGGAGATCAAAGTAGCCCTGAACTTCATCATCTCTTACCTGTACAACAAGCTGCCCCGGCGCCGGGCAGACCTGTTTGGCGAGGAGCTCGAGCGACTCTTGAAAAAGAAATATGAGGGCCACTGGTACCCCGACAAGCCGCTGAAGGGCTCTGGCTTCCGCTGTGTCCACATCGGTGAGATAGTGGACCCCGTGGTGGAGCTGGCTGCCAAGCGGAGTGGCCTAGCAGTGGAGGACGTGCGGGCCAACGTGCCCGAGGAGCTGAGCGTTTGGATCGACCCTTTCGAGGTGTCCTACCAGATTGGTGAGAAGGGGGCTGTGAAAGTGCTGTATGTGGATGACAGTGAGGGCTGTGTTGCCCCCGAGCTGGACAAGGAGATCAAGAGCAGCTTCAACCCTGACGCCCAGGTCTTCGTGCCCATCGGCAGCCAGGACAGCTCCCTGTCCAACTCCCCGTCCCCGTCCTTTGGCCAGTCGCCCAGCCCCACCTTCATCCCCCGCTCGGCCCAGCCCATCACTTTTACCACCGCCTCCTTTGCAGCCACCAAGTTTGGCTCCACCAAGATGAAGAAGGGGGGTGGGGCCGCAGGAGGGGGTGGGGTGGCCACCGGGGGTGCAGGCGGCCCGCAGCCCCCACAGCAGCAGCCTCGCCTGGCCCGCTCTCCCACCAACAACCTGCTGAAGCAGAAGAGCCTCTCTCTGTCCCTGCATTCACTGAACTTCATCACCGCCAACCCAGCCCCTCAGTCCCAGCTCTCACCCAATGCCAAGGAGTTCGTGTACAATGGCGGTGGCTCGCCCAGCCTCTTCTTTGATGGGGCCGATGGCCCGGGCAGTGGCTCCCCAGCCTCCTTTGGGGGCAGCGGCACTGGCACCTGCAACAGCAGCAGTTTCGACGTGGCCCAGGTGTTTGGTGGGGGTGCCAACAGCCTCTTTCTGGAGAAGACACCCTTCGTGGAAGGCCTCAGCTACAACCTGAACACCATGCAGTATCCCAGCCAGCCATTCCAGCCCGTTGTGCTGGCCAACTGACCACCTACCTGCCCGCGAGGCCAGGAGCACCCAAGACCACAGAAAAGAGAAAGGAAAGAAAAGGCCAAAAAAAGAGAGGAAAAGCAAGATAACAAAACAAGATTTCCAGTCTTCTCACTCTAACTTCTAGAAACAAGATCCAGCCCAGGCATGAGGTGGGAGGGGGCTTCTGAAGCAGCAAATCGGGTTTAACTCGGCCCCCCCCTGCTGTTTTCCTGCCTGCCTCTTGATTTATTTGGTTGGTTTGGGTTTTATATTTCTTTTTTTTTCTTTTTTACATGTAGTTTTCTATATAACATCTTTAATTAGTGGCTTCCTGTGCTAAGAATGGTCCAGATGTGAATTGCTGCTCCCTGCTCCCTCCCTCCCTCCCTCCTTCACACGCCTGGTTTAAGGCTGTTGTGTCCAAGCTCACAGGGAAGGAAGAACAGCAGCTGGGGCCCAGCCCTCCTCAGAACAGGGAGAGACTGCCCCATGTCACTGCCTCCATTACCCATTTGTCCTCTGACTCAAAGCCATCCAACCTCAGCAGGCCTTCTTGGGCCCTGCCACCCAAATAAGTCTGACTCCAGCCCCTGCCCACCCCCCCTTTCCGGCCTGAGCCTTAGGGAGCTGCCAGCTGGCCACCTGACACCCTCCCCCCTTGAGCTGATGTCTGTGACTCCAGGGAAGTTAGCAGTCTGTCTGGTGTCCCTTTCATCTCTGCCCGTGGCCCCACGACACCATTCCCATCTGGCCCAGACAGTCACCGAGGCCCTGGAGCCCCAGCCATTGGCACAGGCGGCCTCTCCTATAGCCCCCTTTTTCCTGGGCCTGCAGTGGTGGGCAGGGAGGTGGGGTGAGTGTCGGTGGTATGCATGCATGGTTTGCTGTCCTGTTGTATGGGATTCCAAGCCATGTGAAACTTGGTCTCTAGGTGTGACTCTGGGTTGCAGCAAGTGCTTATTTATGTGTAAGGTTGGGGAAAGGGCTGAGGGAGGGCTGTCGGTCCTTCTGTGGTTCATATGGAGGGTGAATCTGGCTGAACCTGACACCCCAGGGGAAGGCATTGCAGAAACCACTGGTTTCCCAACTGCAGAGGGATCTGCACTTTTGTTTGTTTTTGACCAAAAAAAAAAAAAAGGTTAGCAGTGAGGGCTAAGGAAACACCCAGCCTCTGATACCTAAGAGGAGAAGTCCCTGGACTCGGACCCTTCTATTGTGTGACCTCAGCCCAGGGTGGGAACTGCCCCCCTGAGTACCTGGGGAGGAGGGGATGGGAGTTTGGGGTCTGCATCTTCGGTGGGCAGTCCTAAACCTTGAATTGAGACTTTGATCTTTGGGCTGTCGTTGTTTTAGTACGTTTCTTCCTCTGCCTGCTGGGGAACCTCTTGGTACCTCCTGTCCTCCCCTCACTGCCTGACCCCCAGTCCCCCTGGGCCCTGATGTTCTGAGGACGTGATGGGCTGGACAGGCACGTGGCCCCCACCCCCACCTCCACCTCTGCTGGAGATAAGTCGTTTTTTTCGACCCGACCCCAGTGGGCTAGCTTTCTACACCATGACGCTTTGGCAAGTGTGCGTGGGCACCAGGGGCCCCATCCCCAGAAAGTCCCAAAGCCCTTGGCACGCCCCAGTGACCCCAAGTGGGCAACTGCTACAGCAGTGGGTCCCACCCAGGCAGACACTGCCAGCCTCCTCCCCCTGCAACGGGCACCAGCTCTACCTCCCTGAGCAGGGCAACGCCCTGGCTCCTCAGCCCAGCACCATCTGTCCCCCTAGACTTCTCAGGGGCCAGCCCAATCTCGGCCACCCTCTCCCTAGCCCTCAGCTCCTGTGCAGGTGACAGGTCCAGGCTGTTCTCTGGGAAAGGTTGGATGCTGCCTTACACCCCCGTCCAGCCCTCCTCCCACGCTCACGCACACAGGCACTCACCACACCTGGCCGGCTCATTTCTCACCACAAACAGGGAGGGGGGGACCCACCCCTTTAGTGTCTTTTGAAATAAGAAAAATGTGTGTTCAGGAGCATGACTCCTGGGCTGGGCTCTTGGGCCCACTTCAGTGTGTCTGTCTCAAATCTAGGCATTTTTGCTTCAATTTTATTTTTTTTTAAAGAAAACAAAACTGAAATCTGCACTAATTTACCTGGTTTCGTAGGGAGACTTTTTTTTTTATTTTTTACATTTTTTGGTGTCCGTTTGTATTGAATAATTTGCTACATTTGTAAAATGTAAGAGGTATATATAATATATGTATATTTCTAACGTAAAAAAACGTAATTTTTTTCTTTTCAAGATTTTTTCTTAAAAAGAGGAGAGAAAGATATTTTTTCAGGAAAAACAAACTTTAAAATAAAAAAAGAGGAGAATAAAACCTATTTCTCCCCTTTCCCCATCCTCTCTCTGTCTACCCCTCTTTCCCAGGAACAAATCAAAAGGTGGATTGTCTTGTAAAGAATGTAAACTTTTAGTCCAGAATGATGTCTTTTTCTCAATGCAGTGAGCTGTAGATTCTCTAGTGTGACCCCTAGGGATGGGAAGGGGGGCATTGAGGCAACACGCAGAGGAGCTTGGGGGAGCAGGGTAATGAACTTGTTTTCTTTAGTGAAGGAGGAATACAATCAAGCATTTTGTATTCAGAATGTTGTGCAATATTTTGGAATGGAACATTGGTGTGTTTAGAGATTTAGTTTAAAAACAAAACAAAAAGATTGATCAAATCTGTACAGTTTATATTGTTCCAGATTTTTTTAAGTTTGTATTAAAAGCATGATATATAATAACCTGCTGGCTCCCTGCTTGTTTTGTTTCCAGGGCCCCTTTTGAGAGAGGGTGAGTTGGGAGTGATGCCTGTCAGCTTTGAGAAATGATTGGCCATCCTCACGTTGAGCCCTGGAGGGTCACGGTGTTGCGGGCCCCTCTTTATCACCTACCTAGCCCATCAGCACAGGACACTTAGGCGTGCCCACTCCCACGGGGCCCTTTCCACGTTGGAAACAGGTTCCATGAAGTGGGCAACTGCCCCACTTGCTCTGCTGATAGTGGTGAGAACAGGACACAACTGTTGGTGGAACAGCTGTCTAGGGACGGCTCAGCCTCCAGCCTGCTCTCCACCTCAGGCTGCTAGACCCTTAGGAGTGGGCAAGGATGAGAAAAGCCTGCCCAGGTCAGGTTCCGTCCAAAAACCTGGTGCTTCTCGCCAGGCGATTCCCGAGGTGCTTCAGGGGTGAAACAGCCTACCTGAGCTTGGGCCTGGGGCGGAGCCGGCCCCCTGCCTTGCCATCTGCTTATTTTCTTAGGAACTCAGCCATCTCCCCTACCCTCCGCCGTCTCCTCTACCATGGGACCTGGCACCTCCTCCCCAGTGGAGATGCACACCAGCCCCGTGAGGCCCAAGGGATGAAGAGGGTGGCTGTGTTTGTTGAATTTTGTTTTACCCTCACAGCAACCTGATAACAGGTATGACCTCCACAGTATAATTGAGAAATGGCCTCCATGCTAAATTCATAAAACTGATATATGGGGAAGCCGATTTTTTGACCCATGTGTGGCCTTTTTATAAAACTACGGTAACTCTCAACGGAAGAGTGACATGGGGTAGGCATGGGAGGTCTGATCTTGCCCCCTCCATCCAGGCTGGGGCAGGGGACAAGCAGCTCTTCTGGGGCATCAGCAGGATGGGGGTTTCCTCAGGCCCCTAACCGCGCCTCCCCCCAAACAGGACAACACCAATCCCTGCCCACCCAAGTGTGTGAACTAGACCTGGAAGCCCTCAAGCCGGGCACCCCACATCTGCCCAGGGCCCCTCACATGTTCACTCCTATTTATGTTGATATAAATCGAACACCTAGCACAGACCCTGCTAGAGTTGGGGCCCCCAGCTACTCAGCCCCACTTCCTGGGCACGTGCCAGGGAGCTGACAGGCCTGGGGGAGGCCCAGTTCAGGTGCCAAGATCGCCTCCCCAGTGAGCCCCTCCAGCTGGAAGAACAAACGCCAGGGCTCCTGGTGGCCCAGTGGTAAAGAATCCACTTGCTGGTGCAGGAGACATGGGTTTGATCCCTGATCCCGGAAGATCCCACCTGCCACGGAGCAACTAAGCCCATGTGCCACAACTACTGAGCCTGTGCTTGGGAGCCCGGGAGCTGCAGCTACTGAAGCTCAGGAGCCTAGAACTCGTGCTCTGCAAGAGAAGCCACTGCAATGAGCCCACACACTGCAGCTAGAGAGTAGAACAGAGATTTGAACACACCTCTAAATTGGAGAGCTCAGGCACAGAAATGATTGGTTCATATGTCCATGTGTCCATTTAATCATCAACTGCTGGCTCTGAAGTGCAGCAGTGGGAGACCTGGGGGCCAGGAGAGAAAGAACGTTCGGGGAGTCTCAGAATTCCTTGGGGAAAAGGCTCATTTATTCACAAACGCTTCGTGAGCACCCACTGCCCTGGGCACACGGGGGGACAGCAGTGACAGGATAGGTGTGCACAGGGGGCCTGGGGGCCCAGGGATCAGGAGGCGAAGAGCCAGGAAGGGGCAGAGCAAGGCCATGGCCCCTTCCCAGGGAATGTGTCAAGAGGGCACCCATCAGGGAAGCGTCTGGACTCTGCTCCCTGAGAAAAACGAGGATTCCAGTCCCAACCCTGCCACTCCCGAGAGCCGAGTGACCTCAAGCAACCACTCCACCTACTCAGGTGCCTCAGTTCCCTCACCTCTAAAATGGGGCTATTAATTACACCTACTTGTGAAAATTAACTACAACAGTGAGTAGGAAATGCTGAGCACGGTGGCTGACCCAGAGTAAATGACAAGTATCATTTCATCATCAAGGCCACAATCATTCATCCTCAAACACCACCAGCCAACCAGTCCAGGAGCCTTCCTTGATTCAGCACACAGGCCGAAACCCAGGCCTGCCAACAGCAAGACCAGGCTGGGGCGGAAAAAGAGACCCCATTCTCAGGGCAGGCGCTAGGCTGGCCGCCAGTCTGCCCTCCGCAGGGGTGGGAAGCTGCTGTGGCCCAGCAAGGCAGTATCCTGGGAAGGATGCCGGTCACTCCCTATGTGAACCCCGAAACTGCCTGGGAGTTTCTCCCTGGAGAGCAGGTGGGCGGGGAGGGGTGAGTCATGGTGGCGGGAGAAGCCGGCTCCATTCGCCACCGCCTGCCTGAATCAGTGCCAGTCCCGAGGCCAAGGGGATGCCGCTGTCTGGGCCCCTCACTGCCACCTCCCCCCAGTGAGTCACGGGGTGGAGGGCCACACCCCTGTCCTCCCGCCTCCCTCCCCTGGGTCTGGCCACTCTGGCCAAGTTCTGAGTGGGCAGGGCCTAAGGGCAGGCTGGGACCCTCCCGGAAGTCTCCAAGTCTCTGGGCAACAGGAACCTGCTGATTTGCTGGGTTTTAATTTGGGGAATTTCAACTGCCAGAGAAAGAAATGGGTCCTCAGAGCTGCCGACTCTGTGTAACCTCAGACATCTGTCTCTCCCCTTGACTTCTGTCCCATCTGTACAAGAGACAGTGAGTCTCGCCCCCTGTGCAGCTAGACCACTGGGGCTGGACCCTGGGCCAGCACCTCTTCCTTCCCCAGAGAGGGGAGCAAAGAGTGATGGGCTGAGAGCCCCCAAGACATGAAGACCTGCTGGGCTGTGGCAGGGCTGGGTGAGTCCAGGGAGGAGAAGATGCCTGGCCCAGCCACCTGGACATCTGGCTTCTGAGGCTGGCTCTGCCCTCATTTGCAGTAGGAAATTACCCAACATTCAAGGTTTACCATTCCAAACGGAGCCCCCATTAGTGCTGGACACTGTTCCAGGCATGCAGCATGAGGGTAGTTCCCCAACTAGGGATGGAACTCATACCCTCTGCATTGGGAACATGGAGTTGTAACCACTGGACCACCCAGGAAGTCCCCTGGCTATCTTCATGAAGCTATTTTCTATGAACCACAAAAAAACAAGTGATGGATGTGTCAGATGGTGAGGATGGATGCTCCATTAAGACAACCAAAACTGGGGATGGCAGCCAGTGACCAAGTAACCTCTTGAGATTGGGTGGTCGGGGGAAGGCAAGCCATCCCAAGGAGGCAGCTTTCAACCTGTGACCTGAATTACAAGAGTGTTAGCAGAGAGAACAGCAGAGGAGTCAGCCACATCCAAGGTTGAGGCAAGAACAAGCATGGTGTGGTCAGGGAATGAAAAGACCAGCCACAAACAAGGGACTGGAGAAGGAAATGGCAACCCACTCCAGTATTCTTGCCCGGAAAATCCCATGGACAGAGGAGCCTGGTGGGCTACAGTCCATGGGGTTGCAAAAGAGTCAGACATGACTTAGTGACTAAACAACAACAACAACAACAACAAGAGACAGGCAAGCAGCACAAGATGAGGTCAAAGAAGTTCTTAGGGCAACATCATGGCCTCCCAGCCCAGATGTCGAGCTGGGATCTAATCTCCAACGTGCGCATTGTTGCTCATCCCCAGGTTGCCCCATCTGCTCAGTCTGGGAGCACACAGAAAGAGTTCTCTCACACCTTCAATCAACAAACCTCCCCAGAGCCCCTCCTCGTTGCCAGGTCCTGACCTGGACCCTGGGCACGGGCCCGCTGGAGGACAGGGGGACTGCTGGTGGAATGAAAGCACTTCCCTGGTGGTCCAGTGATTAAGACTCTACGCTTCCATTACAGGCTCAGATCCAGGGCAGAGAAGGATGCTCAGGGAGCCCCAAGCACCCCAGAGGAGGCTCCTTTCCAGCCTAAAGGCTCTTCAGGGGGTTGATAGAAGGTCATGGGGGAGTAGCTACGGCCCAGCACACATGCCAAGTACAATGGCACCTGGACTCAGCACTGAGGGACT